GCCCAAAGATGAAGAGAACTATAACTGCTAGGGGATCAAGGATGGGTAAAGACCAAGCAATAGCCTCCAAGAATAAGCTGGCAAAAGGGTCCCCCTTCCCAAAATTATGAAGCCATGAGGCTTGGGCATAATTGTTTTGTTTTGTTTTTTATTTTCACCTTGATTTGAAGAGTTCATGTAGATGAAGCAGGTTTTGTTGATGACTGCACACACCCCTTTGCCTGCTGGTAGGTAATCAAGGGTTAATCTGTGATCTAGTACAACATTAACAAGAGAATCTAGAGACTGTTGAAAGTTTTGAAGGGCATTGCCAGTACTATATTTGGGGAAGCTATATTGTCTGTGAAATTTTTTAAGGTGGCTTCATGATACACAAATCCTCTCCATGGGGCTATTACGCCAATGGCTGCCCCTATGCCAGTTATAATAAGACCTGTGGCTTTAATTTTTTGAGAGTGAGTAGTATTATGAACAGTGACAGAAATCCCTCTGGGTCTAAGAAAACCTAAGATGCACTGGCCCTAAAATTATGTGTTGTCAACACTTAGAAAGGCTAGAGCAGGTAATGGTTAGTGGAAGTTGGTATAAGGTCAGCCATCATACAGTTGTCTATTTTGGAGGTGTCCACAAAGAAAGAGGTATCCAGGAGGGGAGCAAGCTCATCCCATATATGTTATTGAAAACCAGGCTTGTAAGGTCCAACCCCAGCAGGTGTTTTCTATGCAGTCATGGAAAGGGTTCCTCCTTTCGGGAGATGGTCCCTTGTTCCTGTGGTGTTTTATGTGCTCTGGGGACTTGGTAAATGAGTTTCCACTTAATATTTTTTCTCACCAATAACTGCAGGTGTTCTGGAGATCATTTTGAGAATTAGTTTTCCAGGCATCTGATTTGGCCCTGTAGTCTAGTGGACACTAGTGTGTCAGATTGAAGGTACAGAAAACATTGTCAGAAAAAGTCTTTGGATATATCGAAGTTAGGACAGAATTATCTAGTTCAAGTTTAGTGACACATTCGTTAGACAAACCACAATGACAGCAGAGTTCTGTAAGGGTCTTGCATAAGAGCCTTAATATCGACTGATTATTAGTCTGATTAATGACTGGGGTGTGGTTGGTACAAGGAAAACCATCAGGAACTGAAGGGAGGTTTACTACAAAAGGACTGGCTTTCTCAAAATTTCTGAGGAACCCTAATAACAGAGTTAGACTTACACTGAGGGTTGTAGGGTGAACCTGGGTGGGAGGGGTTGTTCATGGCACAGCCAGCAATTGAGGAGCTGATCTTCAGCAGCAATGATATTGGAAAAGTTTACCAGTATATTACTCCCCACTGTCCTTGTAGGGATCTTTGGTACAGTACAGATATGAAAATAGGAAGGATAAACATTATTGGTTAAAATCTGAATAATTTGAGTGGAGTATACAGAAAAATTTTTTCCTGGCTAAAGAGGCTGGGTATACTAAAAGGATAGTATAAAGAGTGTCAAAAATATGAGGAAGTCCATTGTATTAAGACCTAGCTATTATGTTATTTACCTGTAACAGGTTTTGTTTCCTGAAGAGAAACTTGAGGTCCTTGATGGGTTCACAAGAGTGGGTCTCAGATAATGGTTCCTGTGGAGACTCACAAGAAACAGGTTTAATTTGAGATAAACGAAGCTGATTGACTATTTTTATGAGCTGACTGGCTATTTTAATAGCACTTGATGTGGACTCTTCTTGTTGTTGAGACTCAGGATTGTTGTCCCTCCAGGTTTTTCAATAGAATGTGTCCCCTGGGTTAACCCATTTGTGTTTGGAGTCTTTATCGAAGGCAGGCGGAATTTTGTTTCCATGCTCTTTTCTGTAATGCCTTTTGTGCCTGTCCTAGATTAACAATGAATGATCTCATCTAATAGCAGGGCAGAACTGAGAAAAACCCTGCCATAGGTGGGTAGAAAGGAGCTGACTTTAATTTTTCTCTAGGTGCTGCGCTTCTTCTCATGACACCTATGGGTAACATTGACCCCCAGGACTCTGAGGTTTCTTCACATAGTTTGGCCACACTCCATTTTAGAATTTGATTAGCTTTTTCTGTTACTTGAGGAATGAGTCTCTACAAAAGTGGTAAATAATTCTTAAAGCTTGAACCAGTTTTTGTACAATTTTGGCTATAAAAGAGGGTCCACTGTTGCTTGGTAAGCTTCTTTTCTTTCTTTCTTTTTTCCCCCCAGAGAGAGCAGGAGAGGGAATTGAGGGGAAAGAGAGAGAAACATCGATGTGAAAGAAATATCAATCAGTTGCCTCCAGTACGCTCCCCAGTCAGGGACCAAACCTGCCACCCAAGCATGTGCCCCAACAGGGAATCATAACTGCAACCCTTCGGTTCACTGAATGATAATCCAACCAACTGAGCCATACCTGCCAGGGCTGCAAGCTTCTTCTAATGCAAACCTAGGTAAGATTTCTTTTAGTAAGCACTTGGCCACCTTAGTAGCCTTTTCTATTCTAGTAGGAAAGGATTCAATCCATCCACTGAAAGTGTCTACAAATAGTAATAAATATTTAAATCTAGCTTTCGGGGGAATCTGAGTGAAATCAATCTGCCGCTCCTCCAGAGGGTATGTGCTCCAGTGTGGTATTGGCATCAAAATGGGAGAAGGAGAGAGGTGACTCTGGGGGTTATTTTTGGAGCAAAATACACCTCATCGGGTCACTTCCTTTATAGTTTTATGAAGCTTTTGTGTCATAAACAGTGGGAGACAAGGGTGGCAAGAGCATTTCTCCCAAGTGGGTGCTGCTGTTGGAGCCCTGTGATCCTTTTCTATTTTAAAGTTTGAGATAGTAAAAGTTTATTATCTCTTGACAGCCCACTTACTCTCCAGAGAATCCATTTCCTAAGACCCAAGAGACCTCCTCCGTGGTGTAGGAGGGGCCTTCCGGGAGCTAAGGGGGGTTGGGGAAAAGAGCTTCATCTTGAGTGATTGATGAAGACACTGCCGCTGTCTTAGCTGCCAGTGTATCGCTTTTGATGACATCTGTGTCCCCCTGTTGGCAGACCAAACAGCTTATCACTGCTCCTTTTGGGGAAGCGTTACAGCTCTTAGAAGTTCTAAATTTTCTTTACCATCTTTTACGGGGACATTTTTTGTTGGTAAAAGTCCTTTTTCTTCCCAAATAACAGCATGGGCCTGTAATATTAGAAACCCATACTTTGAGTCAGTGCAGAAATTAACTGGAGGTGTTTTCCAAATTGTAGGGCCCTTCTGTGTGTTACAAATCTGGCTCTTTGAGCCAAAGTAATAAGGGGCTATGGGTTTTGCTTCTCATGTTCCCTGAAAATGGAAAATGGCATGCCTGTCCCTTGTGACTCCGTCTTGTATAAAACTGCTGCCATCCATCAACCATTCAGCATCAGGGTTAGGTTCAGTTTCACCTTTTAAGTCAGGCCTGCTTGAACATCCTTGTTTGATAGTTTCATTTCACTGGTGTGCGACCTGGGTTTCTGGTTTATTGGTAAAAGGGTAGCAAGACTGAGAGTTTGGCAAACTTTTAGGCTTAGTTCAGGTGAGCCAAGGACAAGAGCCTAACCTTGTGACCCAACATAGGTTCAGCGGTCTGCCACAAAAGCCAAACCTGTGGGACAAGTGCTGGTGAGAAGGAAAGCAGTTTACTCCAGTGCCTGCCACCTGGAGAGATGGGGAAATCACCCCAAAGCCCATCCTTACCTCTCAGTGCAGGCAGGGGTTTTCTCAGGAGGGAAAACAAAGTAAAGAAATCAGGGGAAGGGGTTGTGGACACGCAGGACATCTTCCTGTAGGCCTCAATGTGGCTCCTTGCAGTCAGCATCCTTGAGTTGGCCATCTGGTTTCTTTTTAGCTGAATTTCTGGGTCCTGAGGTCAGGCTGCTGCTGAGGTTTACACAGGAACTGAAACTGTGGTTCCTGTAAAGTGCACATAATAAAAACCTTTAACACATAAGCTCTGGTTTTGAGAGAAAAAAATTGGGTTAGAGTAACAAGCTGGGTTTAACATTTCATCAGAGTTGTATAAAATTTTTAATTCCTGTTATAGTATTTACGTAGCCTTCCCACCACCATGAGCTATTAAAGTTCCTTGATTTCTAACACAGCATGTACTTGATGGGGATGTTGAACCTCTAATGGCTGCCCTAGAGTAAGCTTATTGGCCTCTCTTACTCAAAGAGCAGTGGCTGCTACAGCTTGTAAACAATCTCAGGGGGAGGGAGTGGGGGACTGGATAAAAGAAGGTCAAGAGATTAGCCAAAGAACATATATGCATAGCCCATAGACAGAGACACTAGTGTGATGAAGGCCAGAGGAGGGCATGGCAGGGGCTGGGTGGAGAGATGGGCAAATGAAGGGGGCAGAATGGGGAGCTCTGTAATAGTGTCAAGAATTAAAAAATTAGAAAACAGACAAAGAAACAAATGCACAGCCTATATCCCAAGACTTATGATGGAGTCTTTATCTACTTAGCTTTAGATGAATTTTTTTTCTTTTACTAAAATGTATAATGTCCTCTCATAGTTCAACTGCAGAATCTAGTCCCCTCATCTTTCTCCCTCTGGGATGTAATAAACAGACAACTTATGCCCCAACAACACATTGGAGACAAATTTTCTATAGAACGAAAATGGTTTTTACAGCATGCAATGTTTCTCCAAGGAGGTGGGTCAAAACATAGATATCAAAGCTCTGTGACCATTTACTGAATAGTGCATTTGATTTGAGAATATTAAAATGTACTACGTTATTTAAAAAAAAAATAAGAAAACAAAGTCACCAGCCAGCTGTGACAAGATTTAATTGTTCTGAGAAGTAAGCTCCTGGCCTTACAGTCAGACCTAATTTATGGGTGAGCACCCCAAGTGCCATTTCCTATTTTTCTGCTACTATAGGGTAAACGGTTTTTCTAAATTTGGCATTGCTAGGGCGGGTGCACTGCTTAGTTTGACTTTTAACTCTTTGAAGGCATGTTGACATTCAGCGGTCCCACCGATAGGCCCTTTGTTGTCTCCCTTTAAAGTCTTATGTAGACATTTAGCAATTAGCTCCAAACATGGTCTCCATCGCCGGCAGAAACCAGCTAGTCCAAAAAATCATTGAAGCAGTTTTTTAACTTCGTGGGACTCTGAGGGCCAGTATGGCCTGTTTCCCTTGGGGTGACAAGGTCTGGACTCTTAGGGTAAGTGGGTACCCTCGATATTGGACCCACTGGGAGGTTGTTTGGTCCCTTGGGAGAGAGACTGTATCTCCTATCTGCAAGGAGGTTTAACACTAGGATGGAGCTTTTATTTGAATTTTTTTTTTAGTACCTGAAATTGTTCAAATGTCTATACCATTTCCAAACAAATGGAGATGGTTTGTGAAGCCCTGAGAGAGTATAGTTCTCATATACTGGTGGGTTTCCCTAGTTTGGGGGTTGGTCCATTCAAATGCGAACAAGCACCGGGAGTCAAGATGAAGGAGGTGCAGCAAAAAGCATCCTTTAAATCTAACACAGTAACATAGTTGGCTTTTTCTGGGATTTGAGGTGAGTTAGTGTAGGGGTTTGGAACTCTAGAGTGTCCTGGAATTACAGCTTCATTTACTGCCCTTTGCTCTTGTACCAACCTGCATTCTCCATTTGGCTTTTGTACTGGAACATTGCAGAGTTGCACAAGGACTGGCAGGGCCTGCAAGCCCAAGCTTTAAATGTTTTTCATTGACAGGCTCAGTCCCTTTTAGAGGGTCGACTGCTCTTATGGCCTTAGGTTTTAGAGGGCACTGCCTTTTGTTGGGGGGGGGGGGTGTCTGTTGCCCTGCCCAGGACTCCAGTTTGCTGTAGCTCAGGGTTGACTTAAATGAGGACAGATTCTGGAATATCATCCACTTCTGCTTTAGGGTGAGAAGTTAGATCGACCAACAGGCATAACAATGAGGGTTCATTATCTACTGTGATTAATACACCTAGGGCTGCAGCAGTTCCCAGCCTAGACAAGACGGCCCTCCCTATAAGGAAATGGGCACCCCAGGAACACTGGAAAGGTATGGCTAAAAGTGAGATTCCTGAGACAGCAGCCCAGGAGTTGAGTAAAATGGTAGCTTTGAGGATGCCCATCTACCCCAGGCATCAAACAGGATTTGGAAGAAAGAGGTCCTGGTGAGTGGGTCAGAGCAGAGCAAATAGCCCCCATGTCTAATAAAAGATAGCGAGCCCCTCAAGGGTCACTCAAGGCTCCTCTGGTGATAGTGTCAGATGGCCAGTGGGGGTGGTGGTAGACCTCAGGCCCTGTCAGTTCTCAGGGGTTTCGATCATCATTGGTGTGGAGGTACCAGGTTCCCTTCAGAGCCCAGGACACTCGAGGCTCCACTGGCCTTCCCTCCTGCAGAGGGCGCACAGTCCTGGAGGTAGTTGGCCCTAAGTCGGTTGTGGGCAGCCCTTCTTTATGTTGTCCTTCTTGTCTGCAGGAATAACAGTGCCCCTTTTTTGTCCACTGCAGTTTGGGGCTAGGTGACCCTGAGGTGGCATTGGACTGTAGCTAACAAGTGAGCCTCTTGTGTCCATCAAAGGGCTTTTTGCTCTTCATCTGCCCTCCCTGGTTGTTAAAAGCCCTGAAAGCTATTTCTACCAGTTTCTTGGGCAAGGCCTGAGGTCCCAAGGCTAGTTTGGGTAGCTCTCTCTTGATGTCTGGGGCTGCCTGCTAGACAAAGTGCATCCCCAGAAATGTTCAGTGCTCACAGACTCAGGGTCGATGTTTGTGGACTTTCTTAAAGCTTCTGTGAACCCCCCACCCCCACACAAAAGGGCAGGGTTTTCATCCTTTTCTGAGTAAGCTTTTTTATATTGTTATACTTAACAAGTTTCAGTACATTTTTTATCCCTTCTATCAGACAAGTAACCATATGTGTCCAGCAGTTCTTTCCCTCTTGTCCTTTGTCTGTCTGTCCTAGTTTGATAGACCCAATAGAATTGCTTGTCCTCCTGGTTGGTATACAGGATGTGGAGCATGACGACAGGTTAATTCACCAGCATACACCCTTGCCACTGCTTTCCATGACAGTGCAGCAGTGGGAGAGAATGATCTGTAAACCAGACCAAGTCAGATCATAAGTCAGTGTTAAGTGATTAAATGCCTCTGTGAACTCACTAGTGTCTTTGGAAAACCAACTGAGTTTTTCTTTGCAAAAGGCTAGGTCAGACAGAGAAAACAGAACATGTACTCAAGTAATTCCTCCACAAGGCTCCCCTTTTGCTGCTTACCTCAGAGATGCTGCGTTAGGGTTTGAGTGATACTGAGTTCCACCCTGGTAGTGGTAGGACTATGAGTAGGGGCAGGTGTGGGCAGCTCTGCAGCAGAGGAGAGATTAGACAGCAGCAGCTGCCCTTTGGGGGATGTCAGGGGAGTGAGCTGGGAGCAGGCTGTTCTGCCCTTTGGGTGGGTTCTGTTGGATCCACTAGAATCAGATCAGGGTCTTGTGTGGGCTATGAGGAAGGTATTGTCTAATTTATTTGACACTGTGGCAACACACATCCTACAAGATTGTCTTAAATTTCTATCTTGATAAAAGTAAAAAAGTGGTGGTACATTTATACAATGGAATACTATGCAGCCATAAAAAAGAAACATTGACCCTTTGAAACAGCATGGGTGGAACTGGAGAATATTAGGCTAAGTGAAATAAGCCAGTCAGTGAAGAACAAATACTACACAACCTTGTCTAGAGAAGATAAGATCTTGTGATTCACTATCTGGCTATACAGTGGTCAAATTGTTTGGCCTCATTTAATTATCTGGCCTCAGTTTCCCCATTCCACTTACCCAGATATTTTCCTAGCTTATTACTATCCTGCCTTAATAACTGTAAGTGTTGGGTAGAGCCCATGGCAGTGTTTGTTGTACTAGCTTTTGGGAGTCTGCTCTAAAAACAAGAGAAGGAAAAAGAACTCAGACTGGTTAGACACATTGCTTGCAGCCTTGTGACACCCCAATCAGGAACCCCAGCCATGTCATGCCAGACTTCTGACCTGCACAAAGATGAGCTCATAAATGAATTTTGTTTTAAGCTTCTAAATTTATGGTAATTTGTAATACAAAGTACTATCTTTTAAGAAAAACCATGAAGACTTTGCAGCCAGAGGGATTGTGTAAAATCTCTGCTTCATAAGACCCTAAATTGGAAATAGTGAAATGTCTTTATCTGTTAGTTACCTTATCTCTAAAACAAGAATAGTCTAATACCTCTCCCACAGAGCTGTTATAAAAATTAGGCCATATGTATATAAGTATCTGTGAGAGTAGCTTATAAACAAACTATGGTTAAAATGGAGTGATACGAAGTTACCACATACTCAGTGGTAGCTGCTATAATTATAACTAATAAAGTCTTGTCATTCTTGTTTAGGACTTTAGAACCTTCTAGAGGAGACAGCCATGGTGATAAAGTGTTTCAATAAATATATGTTTATAGGCTTACGGTATTCAGGAGTAAGTGCAAGCAGTGTCTGAAGACTAGGAAAATAGATTCTAAATTCCAACCTGATTAAATGTCTCAAAGAGTGCAATATTTTGCATCTTATATAGGAGATTCTAGTCTGTGTATTAAGTATTTTAGAACATTTTAACCTCTGAAAGCCCTACCAACTTATCCAATCACCAGAGTTTCCAACTTCTTGAGTAATTCTGAGGATTTACTGTACCATCCTGTCTTCAAATCTATATATGTGATGCTACTGATATGGGATTCTGTGAGTCATTACCTTTACCTGTTTTATTTTGAAGTCAATTCCAGTTATATTACTACAATTCAATTTAACTTTTTCTCTAAATGTTATGTCAGAAACATAAAAGTTCTGTATCCAAATTGAATGTATAGTGGAATAAGGAAAGAAAATTTTCGTAATATGCGTTGCTAAAAAAAAAAAAAAGAAAGAAAGAACAAGAAATGAAAAAGAACATTTTAAAACCAGACCAGAATTCACAATTGACCTGAACATATTCTGCCCTGACAACATGCTTCCACGGAGGATAATGACTCCATTGAACAGATATTTATATGACTGGAACGTTAGAGAATTCATGGCCATGTTATCTGCCTGTTTCCTTCAGAAGTTGATAGAATTGTACTCAGTGTTCTCCAAGTGTCTCACTGTCCAGCTCTGCACTTTTAGAATACCCCTATATGCAAAGCACCATGCTACGCATGATGAGAGATATAAGAATCATAAAGATGCAGCCATTGTCCTCTATAGTGCTGATATTCTCTGGCCCTTAGTTTTCTCACCTGCAACAGTGGGCAGGTGTGAGGATTCAAGGGGATGTATTTGTAAAGCACTGAGTGTGAAAGTGCCCTCTAACTGCTACCTAATATCTCTAAAACTGGATGAATAAATTCACAGGGGGTTAAGATGCTCAAATATGTTTTTGTTTGTTTGTTTTATTTTACTACAATATCATTCTTTTTATTGATGTTCAAGTATAGTTGCCTCCATTTTCCCCCATCACTCCCCCTCACCCCCTATCCCTGCCTCCCATGCTTGATCCTTCCCCCTTTGGCTTTGTCCATGTGTCCTTTATATTTGTTCCTTGATGACCCTTCCCCTATTTTCCCCCATTATCCCTCTCCCTCCACCTCTGGCTACCGTCAGTTTCTTCATTATTTCATTGTCTCTGTATGGTACATTTACACAATGGAATACTACATAGAGGAAAGAAAGAAGGAACTCCTACACTTTGCAACAGCATGGATGGATCTGGAAAGCATTATGCTAAGTGAAATAAGCCAGGCGGTGAAAGACAAATAAATACCATGTGATCTCACCTACAAGTGGAACCTAATCCACAAAACAAACAAGCAAGCAAAATATAACCAGAGTCAAACGAGTTAATGAAAGTAAAATTTCTTTTTCAATGTAAACATTAGTGCACACATGAAGGATGATTGTATTGCATTTATTTTTTAGAAGCCTGAGTTCTGAGATGTCAGCAGGCCCCAGCGTTTACATTGTGGTTCGGGAGCAACCATCTCCGGACCACTGGTATTCACTCAACCCGTCACAAATCCTACACATCACTAGGAATCATCCTGTCCTTGTGAGTGCACAAGACCAGAGAACTTTGAAAGAGGGCAAAACCTTAGGGGTAAGTGAGACATCACACTGCAGGCTGGGGGCTAAATAGCTGCAGTGAGAAGAGAGAAGGGTTGGAAATACAAAAACGGAAAATCTAGCAAGTGAGGCTGGAAGCTAATCCAGCCTTGCCAATCTCAGGTCTATTAAGAAGCTCAGCTGTTGAGCACCACCAGGGCCTTGGTATGAGGCCTTATATTTTCTATCTTTGGCATTTTATGAAAAAGAGAGAAAAGCAACAAAGAAGCAGAAAATTGGAAGTTTTGTCCTGTGCCCCAGAATCCATGTTGATTATGTGGCCTCTGGAGAAGGTGGGTGCAGTGAGCCACAAAGGGGAGTCTAAAGCCAATGTGCTTGAATAGAATCTTTGCCCAACAGCAAAAAAATAATAATAATAATAACAAGAGCTCATAATGATTTTTGCCCTGAAAGGCTGACCTAGATAGTCCCATTTCATTGCACAGCTGAATGATGATATGTATGGATGCTGATCCAGGCTGCTCAGGTTCAGTTTCTAGCTCCAGTCCCATATACTGCTTGTGGAATGTCAATCAGTACAACCTGCATGGAGGGCCATCTGTATTGGCCAAATTTTAAAATATACAACAATTTCATTTCTGATACTTTGCCCTGTAGTCATGTGTGTGCACATGAGAAATATGGCATGCATGAGTTTATTTATTGCAGCCATGGTTTGTGATATGAAAAGAATAGAAAAAAAAAACAAAACCAAAATATCCATCACTATAATACAGCTTAATCAATCTGTTGTACATCCAAGAATGATGTGTTGCAGGGCTCTGAAAAGAAAGAAAGATCCTTGTGTAATGATATAGACATGACCTCAAACTATATAATTAATGACAAAAAATAAGAGGCAGACAATATGTATAATTTGCTACCATCTGTGCAAATTTATAGAAATAATATATTTGTATTCACTGCCACATTCATAGTATATACACATATGCATATATATGTATATATGTGTGTGTATATATACCATTTTGGCAGGAATATATAATAGGTTCCTTCAGCTGCCATAACAAAGTACTACAAATGGGATGGCTTAGAACAACAGAAGTTTACTGTCTCATAGTCTGGGGGCCAGAAGCTTATAATCACAGTGTCCATGGGTCCATGCTCCCTCTGAAGGCTCAAGGGGAGGACCTTCCCTGGCCAATCTCCAAGATTCCAGTGAACTTGGCCTAAGGCAGCATAACTCCAACCTTGGCATTCTCCTGTGTGCATGTGTGTCTCTTTACATGGCCTTCCTTTAAAAGGGTAGCAGCAGTCCTAGAGGATCAGGAGCAACCCTGTTCCAGTACACCTTGTGTTACCTAATTATGTCTGCAGCAACCTAATTTCCAATAAGGACCCATTCTGAGGCAAAGGAGACTAGAACTTCAACATATTAATTTGATGAGGGAGTGGCAGACACAATTCAATTCAAAACAACATCCCAAAGAAACGAGAGGAGCAGAGACACTTACCCACAAAGGTGTTCATCACAGTGCTGTGTATAATATGAAAGCATAGAAATAATCTTACCTGCCCAGTATCTCTGTTCCACCTACTCCAGAGCCATTTTGTATTATCAGTGCAGATATTTGAAAAGTTAATGGAAGGTTATGCACCCAAATGTTAGTGGTTGTTATATCTGACTGGGGAAAATTTGGAAAGTTTTCTTTTCATTTTTACATTTTCATATTATTTTTTGACCAACAAAACAAATGTGTTAAAAAACAAAGGAGTTACAAGGCAGGGAAAGGGAGCATATTTCATCCCCAGAAACACAGGTCTCAGCTTATGGCTCCCCTGACAGGCCCTCCAGCTCCTGATTGGCGTGATATACATTAGCCTCGGTGGCATCATGGATACCATCAAGATGACTGGGAACTATATAGCCCCCTCATTCACCGGAGGCGTTCCCTTCTGGGGTGGTATCTCGGTAAGTAATGACAGTCACCCTGCAAGTGAGTTCCAGAGACTGCCAACACAATCAGGGCCACCTTGTCGAGCTGTGTTCTTTGCTGCAGGAGTTTTCCAGTCAAGAGAGCATGTGGGCTTTGAGCCCAGCTCAGGCCTTGTTCACTAAGAACGTTAGTCTGCTTGTGCAGCCAGAACAAATACCACAGACTGGGAGGCTCAATAGCGGACATTTATTTTCTCACATTTCTGGAAGCTAGAAGTCCTACATCGAGGTGTCAGCAGGGTTGTTTCTTCTGATGCCTCTCTCCTTGGCTTGTAGAGGGTTGTCTTCCTCCCTCTGTCTTCACATGGTCTGTGTGGGTCTATGCCCTAATGTGTCTTCTTATAAGAACACCTATCATTTGATTAGGGCCCGGCTATGTGGCCTCATTTAATGTTCATCACCTCTTTAAAGATCTTATCTTCAAATATAGGTGCTCCTCAGTTTATGATAGGGTTACATACCAATAAATCCACCATCAATTAAAGACCTCCTAAGTCAAAAATGCATTAAATACTACACTACAGAGTATGGGCTGTTCACCCTTGTGATCCCTCTCCAGATGGGAACTGTGGTTGGCTGTGGCTGCCATCCAGCATCATGAAAGAGTATCTTACCACATACACTTACCCAGGAAAAGATCAAAATTCAAAATCTAAAGAACAGTTTCTACTGAGGGCATATCACTTTCACACCATTGTAAAGTCAACAAAATATAAGTGTAACCATCATGCATCTGGAACCATCCCTACAGTCACATTCTGGGGTATGGGGGGTTAGGGCTTCAAGAGGTGAATTTTGAGGGGATGCAGTTCAGCTCAAAATTCCAAGTGACAACCTTGTAAGTCTCCATGGACCCAGACTGGGCACCTTTCCTGATTAGCCCACCTCAGAGGTCAGGAAACCTTCCTCTGGATCATTAGCCCAGAGGCAGCATCTTTTCTAATCCACACAAAGAATGACATATTGGGAACTCGGCTCAAGTGTTGATCAGTGCAGGCCCCCAGCCTGAGCTCCAGGAGAGAACCATTTCCACCACTTGCTGAGAGTGGATGCCCAGCCACAGAAGAGTCATTAAGAAGAGGGGACTCAACCTGGTGTTCACAGATGGCCTCAGAGTCCCACTTTTAGAAAAATATTTGGTATATTAGATGATTACAGTGGGCTGGAATGGGAGTAAACAGGAGAAAACTATACTTGAACAATGATTAAAATAAAATTAAAACAAAAAACAAAAAACAAAAAAAAATGATTACCTTTTTCTGGAAAAGTCCATAGTTTTTGTCATATTCTCAGGGTGATCAGTAATCCTTAATAAGTGAAGAACCTCAGGTCCTTTCCCTTCTCCAGTGTCTCACCTTTATGATTCTCTTGCAATCTCCTCAGTGTCCTCCCTCCTGCACACACACAGCCACTCACAGTCCCTCCTTCTCCTCCCTCCCACCACCCATCTCCTTCACCTCCCTGCTATAACACAGTCTGTCTCCCAATCACACACTTCTCTGTGACTCAGTGCAACTTTTGTCACAAATAGCACAACTCCAGACTAACCTGGGCATCAGCCAAGTCACCCTGTCCCATTGGACTTAAATAAAATAGTCTGGAGTCATTCGCCACACTCAGTACACGCAGCATCTGTAAATCAGCAGGGATTATATTCTTGGGAGCACTTTATCCAAGTACTCACTCTCACTTATTCCTATTCATGTCTCAGCCCTGAAGCTGGGGTCTTCTCTCAGTTTTGCAGAGACTCAGACTGGGAACTCAGCCCCAATTCCTTTGCTCAGCCACAAGCACCTGTGTCTGCATAGCAACCTGCAGTGGGGTTTGGGCCATGGAGAAGATAGCACCACAGCCACAGAGCAGTTGCTATCAGGTGTTAGATTCTCTTATGCATTCTTAAGTGCCTGGTGGCCTTGGTGGCCATCTCTTCTTCCACCAAGCTGTTCAGGTCCCATTAGCCCACATGACACCCCCTTTCCTTTTTTCTACAGGGCAGTTTTACTCTGTGTTGCCTTCTTGACTCCAGGACTCTCTGTTCCTCAAGATTATAAATGTCCTTCTTCAAATCAAGACCTATTTCCTTGGGTACCTCAAGGACCAGGAGGGAAATCAGAATTCAAGTCCTGATTCCTTTCTTACTCATCAAGTCTCTACAAACAGAGGAACATAAGATTGAGGTTCATTATTCTATTCCAGGAAAAATAGCATTCCCCTTAGAAGGCACAGGCAGCTAGAGCAGGTTTTCATTGTGAATACCCATTTCCACTGCATGACTCTACCCTAAGGGGGAGATTGTAGGATGAGGGTTAAGATCACAAGATCTGGAGTCAACTACCTAGATTTGATTCCCATATCTGCTACTTGCTGCATGTTCTCAGGTGGGTTACTTGAAATCTCCAAGCCTCAGGCCATCCTTCTATGAAATGGGAAGAGGAATAGTGCTTGATGGGCCAATGTGCAGCTAAATAAGACAAGGTAGGAAGCACTTCATGTAGGGCTCAGCAAAGCATTCATTAAACACTGGCCAATGCCCTCTCAGACCCTCAGGGACAACAGGGAATCCCAGCAGCCACTGTGCCTGCAGAGCATGCGTGTTGAAGTAAATACACACAATGTACCCCATAGGCCTCATATTTGATGTTCAGCACTCTAGAGATGCAACATGCTTCTCAGTAACTAAAACTGACTTGTCAAATTATAGATATGCAATGATTGATGTTGGGCTTATATCTAAAAGCAGTGAAAATGGGGGGATCCCCTTTCCTCTCCTCCCCAGAGCCCCCATGTCTGACTAAATCCTATTGGGAGATCAGCAAGATATATACATGTGGGGAATTGAAGATAAGGAAAGAACTAACTTTTTCAGTGTCTACTGTGATCTACCATGAGCAAGACATAACAAATGCCAGATTCAAAGGACAAATGATCTCATGACAATGACACTTAGGAAGACATACTATTTTTCCCAATTTTCAGACAAGGAAATACTGAGAAATTAATTACTCAAGAACATGTGAGTTTCAAGCTAGAATTCATGACTATGTCTGTTGTATCCTAAGAATCCATATTTATCCCAATTCACTGCCCTGTTATGTGGTACCAAACACCTCATTCATTCATTCTTTTATTCATGTTGAGCTGGAGGACCCAGCAGAGGAACCTAGCATGTGTGAGAGAATATGTGTGTGACTATAATCCCTGGAGCCTGAAGGGGGTGACCCTTACTTCTGACCTCTCTCTAAACTCCCTCTTCTGTGCCAGTTTATCATTTCAGGATCCTTCTCAGTGGCATCAGAACTGCTGCCAAACTCTCTTTACCTGGTAAGTCACATCCTGAGACAGGCTCTCCCCACTGTAGACCAATAGCAGGGACACACTACAAAGGAAAGAAGCTAACACACAATCCCTCCTCCATCCATGCACCTACTTATAACCAGACACACAGCACTGATATGCATGCTCACTCATACTCACATGCAGGACCACACCAACCTGGCCAAGTCACAAGTGGGAAAGAGTCCAGAAGATTCAGGGGAAGGAAGGGAAATACAGACATCTTTGCTGAGGTGTCAGGGTGTGGAGACACAGAGAGTAACTCTCCAAATAGAATCTTACAGGAGGAGGCAAAAAGCTTCCCAGGGCACAGGGCTCCCGTCCAGCAGAGCAGGGCACTGAGACTGCCTGCAGTGCACAGAGCTGACCTCCAGACACTTCTACAGAGAAGCCAGGGGAGGCTCAGGCAGTGGCTTCCCTAAGGAATCTAGACAACCAAGCTCTGTCAATCAACATGGCCAAGGCTTTGAGATCGCCTAGCAATGGACCAAGAAAGTACCTTTATTTCTCTCACAGCAGGTTATCTAGGGCAAGGGGCCCCAGGTTGGCAAGGTACCAAGCGAGATGAGATTCATTTGAGGATCTCCAAAGGGAAGATTTTTTTCCACCATTGGCTCCCTCCACCCAATACTCCCATTCCCTCCCTCCAGCAATCATGTCCCTTAGTTCCTGTCTTGGGTCATGCATGTAAGTTCTTTGGCTTCTCCATTTCCTATAGTGTTCTTAACACTCCCTGCCTACTTTGTACCTACCAATTTGTACTTCTTTTTTAAGTATATTTTACTGCTTATGCTATTATAGTTTTCTCAAAATTTTCTCCCCTTTATCCCCCCTCCTCCCTGTACCCCTACACCCTCCAGCACTCTCCCTGTTAGTTCATATCCATGGGTTGTACATATCAGCTCTTTGGCTTCTCTGTTTCCTATACTATTCTTAACCTCCCCTGTCTATTTTATGTCTGCCAATGATGCTTCTTATTCCCTGTACCTGCCCCCCATTCTTCCCCTCCCCCTCCCCACTGAAAACCATCCATATGATCTCCTTTTTTCTAGTTCTGTTCTGTTCTAGTTGTTTGCTTAGTTTTTGTTTTTGTTTTTTAGGTTCAGTTGTTGATAGTTATGAGTTTGTTGTCATTTTGCTGTTTGCATTTTTTATCTATTTCTTAGATAAGTCTGTTTAACATTTCATACCATAATGGTTTGGTAATGATGAGCTCCTTTAACTTGACCTTATCTGGGAAGCACTTTATCTGCCCTTCCATTCTAAATGATAGCTTTGCTGGTTAGAGTAATCTTGGTTGTAGGTCCTTGCCTTTCATGACTTCATATACTTCTTTCCAACTGCTTCTTGCCTGTAAGGTGTCTTGAGAAATCAGCTGACATCAGCTTCCTTCTAATGGGAACACCTTTGTAGGTAACTCTCTCCTTTCCTCTTGCTACTGTTAAGAGCCTGTCCTTATCTTTAATCTTGGGTACCTTAATTATGATGTGCCTTGGTGTGTTCCTCCTTGATTCCAATTTCTTTGGGACTCTCTGGGCTTCCTGGACTTCCTGGAAGTCTATTTTCTTCACCATATTGGGGAATCTTTCCTTCATTATTTGTTCAAATAACTTTTCAATTTCTTGCTTTCCCTCTTCTCCTTCTGGCACCACTACAATTCAGATGTTAGAGTACTTAAAGTTGTCCCATAGGTTCCTATGCCTGTCCACATTTTTTTGAATTCTTGTTCCTTCATTCTGTTCTGATTGGATGTTATTTTCTTCCTTTTGTTCCAAATCATCAATTTGAGTCCTGGTTTCCTTCCCTTCACTGTTGGTTCCCTGTATATTTTCCTTTATTTCACTTTGGGTAGCCTTCATTTCTTCCTTCATTTTGTGACCAAGTTCAATCAGTTCTGTGAGCATCCTGATTACCAGTGTTTTGAACTCTGCATCAGATAAGTTGTCTATCTTCTTGTCACTTAGCACTTTTTCTGGAGTTGGCATACCTGTTTTCTGTCTTGGCATACCTGTTATGTTGCAAGGGGATGGAGCCTTATGTATTTTTGCTGCATTGTGGTGTTGTCTGTGAGGGAGGGATCAGAGAGGGAACAATGCTGCTGGCTTGCTCTACTGTAGCCCCACTTTCCAAGGAACTCTCCTGTGAGACTAAGAGTTTCTTCCATCATTGCTATCCCCACACTATTTTACATCTGGTTTTGAGTCTTTAGTTTCCTGTTCAGCAAGCCCCACCTCACCTACATGGTCCGCCACCTTGCCCCACATCCTCTCAGCAAGGCTGCCCATCTCCCCTCTCCACCCCTTCTACCAGTATGGGTGAATGTTTCTTTAACTCCTTGGTTGTTGGAGTTCCATGCAGTCTGACTTACTGGCACCTCTGGTTGTTTATTGTTTTTAAATGTGTTGTTATCCTTCCTTTGGTTGTATGAGTAAGTGAAGCATTTCTACCTATGCCCTTATCTTGGCTGGAACTCCTCTCAATTTGTACTTCTTAATCCCTGAAACTTTGTCATTTTGCTGTTTGCAAAATGAATCTTACAGGAGGTAAGTCTCCTCCTTCCCAGTCTCCAGTCTCCTCCTTCCTCCTCCCAGCTGATAACCCTCCAAATGATCTTCATATCTCTGATCTGTTCAGTTCTGCTTGTTTGCTTACTTTGTTTTTTTTTTTTTTAGATTTAGCTGATAGTTGTGCATTCATTGACATTTTAATGTTCATAGTTTTGATCTTCTTTTTCATATATAGTTCCCTTTAACACTTCAGATAATAATGGTTTGGTCATGATTAACTCATTTAGTTTTACCTTGTCTGGAAAGTACTTTATCTCCTCTTAAATTCTAAATGCTAGCTTTGCTGGAGAGAGTAATCCAGGTTGTAGGGCCATGATTTTCATCATTTTGAATACTTCTTGTATTCAAAGCCCTTCTAGCCTGCAAAGTATCTTTTGAGAAATCAGGGACTGTCTTATGGGAACTCCTTTGTAAGTAACTATCTGCTTTTCTCTTGCTGCTTTTAAGATTCTCTCTTTATCTTTAACCTTTGGCATTGAAATTATGATGTGTCTTGATGTGGTCCTCTTTGAGCCCAACTTGTTTGGGACCCTCTGTGCTTCCTGGCCTTGTATGTCTACTTCCTTCACCAAATTAGGGAGGTTTTATTTCATTATTTTTTCAAATAAGTTTTCAAATTTTTTGCTCTTCCTCTTGCCCTCTAGTACCCCTATGATTCGGATGTTGGTGTGTTTGGAGATGTCACAGAGGCTCCTTATTCTATTCTCATTTTTTTTTTATTCTTTATTCCTCTTGCTGTTCTGACTGAGTCCTTTTTTCTTCCTTACATTCCAAAACGTTGATTTCAATCTTGGCTCCATCCCCTCCATTGTTGGTTCCCTGTGGGTTTTTCTTTATTTCACTTAATGCAACCTTCATTCCTGCCTGGATCTATTTTATGCTATTGCAGTACCTGACAATTTCTCTGAGCACCCTGATAACCAGTGTTTTGAACTCTGCATCTGATAAGCTGCTTACCTCTATTTCATTTAGTTTCTTTCCTGGAATTTTGTTGTTCTTTCATTTGGGCCATATTTCTTTGTCTCCTCAATTTGCTGGCCTCCTGGTGTTTGTTTCTGTGTATTAGGTAGAGCTGCTTTGACTTCCTGTCTTAGTAGCATGGCCCATTGTAGAAAAGTCACTTGTAAATTGTGGGGGGCAGGGTGTTGGGTAGTCACCACCATGGGGCAACCCATTTCACCACTTTGTGGTTCTTTGTAGGGGAGAGCTCAGAGAGGAGACAATGCCACTGTCTGGCCTCTGGAGATTGCCCAAGAAGAAGCTGTCTTCCCAGCTAGTCACTTCACTTCCTCTCCTCCTCCCATATGCCATTTGTTCCCTTCTAGCTGTTGCCCTGATCCTGAGTCACAGAGGTGGATGGTCTGCATGATTCCTAAGTCCATTGCAGGCCCCTTAGGAGAAGTTTCTTGAGAATCTCTCAGTTTCTCCCACCATCCCAACCCCCACTGATTTTTGCAGGCAGAAGTTATTGGGATTTATCTACCTGGCACTGGAACCCTGGGATGGGTGATCTGGTCTGGGGCTGGGGTTGCTCACTCCTGAGGTACCCCTTCCAGTTTTTATCCACAACATGTGAATGTGGGACCACCTATTCTGCTGCTTCTCCATGACTCTCTGCATCTTCACCCTTCCCATTTGTCTGGAAGAAGATGTGATTTCTTTAAATCCTGGGTTGTCAGACATCCATACAGCTCAATTTTCTGACAAATCTAGGTGATATTTGTTTTACAGTCTGGTTGTAATTTTGCTGTAGGTGTGCATGGAGGTGAAACATAATTTACCTATGCCTCCATCTTGGACAGAAGCCAATGCCCGAAACTTTTTTACAAAACACCCCTTTACTTCCTCCAGAGCTAGGGTCCCAGGAAATTATATTAAGAAACACTTATTGAGCCTCTACTCATCTCAGCAACAATGATTTTTTTTCTCTCACCCTCACTCTCTGTGTCTTCTTTAGTTGAGGACTTACATCATCGTACACATCTTCAGTGCAATCACGTCTGTGATTGGAATGTCTCTCTTCATCGCAGAGATCATTATCAACAGCCCATATATACACCTCTACATGGAAGTGGTGAGTATCCCTCTCAAACAATGCTCCCCTGGGTTCCAGCTCAGGTATGTTTAGGAAATCATTAAAAACAGACCTAACCACCAACCTTCTTCACCAGGCACTACAGCAAACAGCAGTGCTATCAGCATCAGAACAGAGTTTAAAGTCCCTGACCTGGAGCTTTATTGCTGTGTTACTCTAAGCATGTGACTTTTCTTAGTCTTAGTTTCTATGTTTATAACTCAGTACCTACCTTTGGACATTATTTGGAGAATTAAATGCAGTTATGCATATAACGCACAGGTACCTACCAAACTGCACCTCACTCACATGCTAGTCTTCTTGCCCATTATTATGGGCAAATGGGTTAGAAAAAGTCTTCGGTATAGGGCCAGAGGGCAAATATTTAAGGCATTGCAGACCATCTGGTATGTGTTGCAGACTCAAGCCTGTGTGAAAGCAGACATAGAAAATGTACAAATGAATGAGTCATCTCAGATTATAGACCAGTGCTATCCAACAGAAATATAATGTAAGTCATGATTGTGACTTTAAATTTTCAAATTCCCACACTACAAAGTGAAAATAAGGAATAGCTGAAATTAATTTTAATAACATGTATTTAATTTGATAGGCCCAAAAATCTTATTTCTATATGTAATCCATGTAAAAAAATTATTAATTCATTATTTTGCATTTTGGAGGTCACATCTAGGAATCCAGTGACATTTGGCCTTTAAATCACATCTCAAGTCCTTGGGGGATTCATGGCTACTGGATTAGGAAAGTGCAGCTACCAATGAGCCCCATGAAAACTCAATGACTCCCTCTGCACTACAGCCCTGTCCTCCCCACCCACTCAAGTTTATCACTGCTAGTGTTTATCCCCTCTCCCTTACCCCCCCTTCTACATCCATTCCCCCCTTGGCTAGAGCTTTTCATTAGCATCTACACATTGTTCTGTTTCCTTCATTTTCAAAAACAAACAAATTAACTTTCAGTTACTGCAGCTACCAACCTTGTCTGTGGCTGCATCTTGCATCTGCAGAAAATTTAAACCAATTGTCTGCCTCATATCTCCAATTCTCTCCTCTCATAACCTCTGTTAAACATTCTTTGAGCCGAGTTTACCCTAAAGCCTCCTCTGCTTGAGGTCCCCAATTATTCCTCCTCTTTGGAGACTTCCCAGTGGCTTCTAGGACCTGTGGCTGATGTTCCCCCACCCACAATGATCATTCTCTTCTCTGTCTCCTGTGCTCTTCTTCTCATATCCCCAGTCTCTCAGGTTCAGTCCTTGATCTTCTTCTGTTTCTCTCTCCACTTACTGTCTGGAATTCTCATCCAGTCTGGTGACTTTCTCTGTGACAATGACTCCCCAAACCTGTCTCCCAAACTTAAGTCTTTTGAATCCAGTTGTCCACTCACCATCTTGAAATTATCGTATCCCATTCTTGTCTCCAGATTTTACATTCCAAACTTTCTCTCAGGTTTCCTTTTCCCCATTGATGGTTACTGCATCCTTCCAGTCACTCAGGACAAAACCTTAGTGAAGTCCTCAACCTTCTCTATTTCTCCCACACCTGCCAGCCAATTCCTCAGGCAATCCTACCTCTTTCACCTTTAAAATGCACCCAGAATCCAGGCTCTGGCCTCAGCCCTTGAATCTGAACAAGAAGGGCTGGATTTCATCACAGCCTTATAAATGATGAGCAAGAGACTGAGCACTCCTAAGTCTCAACAAGCATGAATTAATGTTCACAAAATAATACATATCTAAGATGCTTGAGGAATCCCTCCTCCCTCGTGGAACATTTCTCCTTCATTTTTAAATTATGCAGTTGTCATAAAATATTATATTAGTTTCAGGTGTACAGCATAGTGTTTAGACATTTATGTAACTTATGAGATGATCACCCCAATCAGTCTAGTAGCTGTATAACACCACACATAGTTATTACAAATTATTGACTATATTCCCTATGCTGTACTTAAATTTACCTCCCTGTGACTAATTTTATAACTGCCAATTTGTACTCTTATTCCATTCATCATTTTCACTCATCCCTCAACCCTTCTCCCATTAGAAAGTTTTATTTATAAAAGAATTTTGTTGTTAAAAACACATTTGAAATGGACCGGCATCATTTGTGAAGACTGCTCTGTCCTAAACTTCTGTGATTCCTTGACTAAGACATCATCACCCTGCATTTGCCTCTGTCTGGACACCCTTTCCTAACCCATGTCTATAAATCTTCTACCAAGCATGAACCTCTGTCTCTTCAGTGCCCCAGAAGCTAAATTTGGAGGGAAGAGAAGGAAAGTGCTAAGGAAGTTCTCTCAAAAAGTGATGATTCTCCGAGCAGCTAGCTGTCACACATGCCATTTTAAAAATCATTGTCAACAAACATTTGTTTTGTACATACCCTGCATCAGGCACATTCACTTTGATATTTATCCTCTCTTATCATTGAAAAATAAATGGTTTCTGAAGTATCTCGTCCTTTGTTGTTTTTTTATGATTCAAGTGGATTCTACACAATCCCTCCCAGATACAGTGGGAGACCCCACTCTCCTGGGGATTCTTAGAATGAGCAAGAAAAGGACTTACTGTATTTTCTGGACCATAAGACACACCAAGGTTTTAGAGAAGGAAAATAGGAAAATATATTGGAAGCAAAAATGTGGTAAAATACTTAATAACATAACACTTCTCCAATGTAAATGTAAACAGAACTCAACAGCAGCATTAACAACCATTATTCCTCCCAAATTTGGCAGGGGGGGACGTGTGCCTTATAGTCTGATAAATATGGTAGATGTCTCCTGGCATTCAGGTGAAATCTACTACTACTGAATTAGTTCAATTTGGGGATCCTTTTACTGACTCCTTTTCAAACTAAAGACGGGCCAAATTATCGCTCTCCACAAAATGCAACTGTCACAGGGCAGAAAGCTTGTGTCAGTAGCCAACTTTCTCTAAAGGTTCAGAAGGATGGTGGAGGTTTACATCAGAGCTCAGGCAACTACTGAAGACTGAAGATTACACATCCCTATTTTGTCAAGTCTTCATTTCTCACAGGATGCCTTTGTCTGCAGACTCCACCACCCATCCTGTTGCTCAGTCCTGTATTTCTTCTCTAACCCTCTCGCTTTCCTTCTTGTGGCTTGTCCATGCTCCCAAATTTCTATTCAGTTCCTACACAGAACAGCTTCACCCTCTCACTGTCTGACTCCAGACAACGTCCTTAGGTCTCATCCCCCGTACTGAAACAGGGTATCAAGGGTTTCCCCTAGACAATGACTATTATTTCCCTTACAGGAACACCAGTAGTGTTTGACCCTCACCAAAACCTGGTGAGATATTTTCTCCATGAGACTGAGATAAAGGTTAGAGGACTTCCTCATAGCCATTGCAGAGGCACACTTCTAGCCAGGACACATAACCTCCTATTTGTTCTGGTTCCAGTTCTTTGGAAGGACTACTTCTGGCATACTGCTCTCCTTCAGCATCTTGGAGTTCTGGATTGCTTTCGCATGTACCATCCTTGGCTACAGACATAACAAAGTAAGTTCGAAGGCTCCTCAGTGGGTGGAAAGATTCCCCACAGAGGGTGGAGACTAGAGGGATCTTCGGGCTTTCCTTTCCTGCCCAGGACCATGGGAGTCCAGGAATGTCTAAAGACCTCTGTGCATGCCCTGCTCTTACCAAGGCACCTCCTGTGCCTGTCTTTTCCAGAGCCTTGTGGAAGCCCAAAACAGTTCTGAAGCAAACCAAGTGGACACCGAACAACCAGGGAACTCACATTAGACAGATTCCAATAAGGTGCAGAATTCCCAATATGCTAAACGTTCTAAAAGCATCTTTCACTGGGACCAAAGGAAGATCTCCCCTTACCAGACTTCTGAAACTCAGCTTCTTCCTTCCCTGACAAACTAAGGAATGTGTCTTTCCAACTGTGTGTACCCTGGACTCCATTTACTTCATCCTGGTAAATTGTGCTGTGCCTCTATTAAAAATGAAATGGAAATTTCAAGTGGATTTTAGCAAAGAGGTCCTCCCTAGGGCAGCCACATGTGGGGACATCACATGCACTTATTCATGTGCTTCCCTGCGTGGGCTTAGGAGTTAGAGGAATAAATGTCCTGACAACCCAAGCTTCATTATTTCAATCATTCACTCAGTGAATAAATATGAGCTGAGCATTTGATATGTTCAAGCCTCTTCATGGCAGGAGAAGGATGAACATGAGTGAACACACAAAGTGTTTGATTTCAAGGCACTTCTGTCTCACATGGGAGAACCACATGCAAATATCTTTCTCTAACACAAAGCAAAATGTGAGGATGTATAAAGAAAACAGAGAGGGAAATGATTTATTTCTGGCAGTGACAGGGAAGCAGAGAACAAGACTCATTGAGTAATCAACATTTGCTGGTGCATTAAAGAGAGTGGCATTTTTATTGATATTGTTGTTCTTGTTATTTTAAAGCTTTTTGTGGGGGTTTCTTGGGGCTTGGTTTTTTGTATTTGCTTTAGTGCAATAAGAAACAGTGGTGTTGGGAACTCTTCATCCTTTGGAGATGGTGAATTATCCACTGACATCAGTTTTTTGACACAGGTACCACCAAAGCTGTAGTACTCAAGAACAAACATTGTCTTAAGATATCTTCCAAAGTTATGAGCCTAGTATAGCTTTATTTACAAAAATATAGGGCCTAATTCAAAGAGGAAAGGATATTTCTATAACTTCTCGATTTGCACATATTAATATAAATATTGTTATTCATGATGGGCAACTGGCTTCCAAAATATTACATGGTGACAGGTTATAGCAATAATCTCTGAAGTCCAGGTATCCTCTAATTTCCCTTTGCTATAGAAGCTCAGCAATGGCTTCTGGGGGGCACTACTAAACACAGAACATGATTTTAGTCTTGTAAATAGTTTTAGGCTCTGACTCTTCTAAGAAGTCTCCTCTAAATGGCTTGCTGTTCAGGGTTCTGTTCTCTTCTGCACCTGCATCTTCTCTGACAAGGACCCTTTGGTTACTCATCACTCATAGCAGCATTATTTATGGTAGCCAAGTGCTGGAAACAGCCTTAGTGCCCATCAGTAATGAGTGGACGAAAAACTATGGTACATTTACACATGAAATACTACACAGCAGAAAGAAAGAAGGAATACCTACTCTTTCACAGCATGGATAGAACTAGAAAGTGTTATGCTAAATGAAATAAGCCAGGCAGTGAAAGACAAATACCATATCATAGGATCTCACCTATAAGTAGAACCTAATTAAAAAAATAAAAAAAGAAACCAAGTGAGCAAAAAGAACCAGAGACATGGAAATAAAGAACAAACTGACAGTGACCAGAAGGGAGAGGGGAGGAGGATAATGGGGGAAAGAAGAGAAAAGGTCAAGGAACATGTATAAAAGACCCATGGATAAGGACAACAGGAAGGGAAGAGAATGTGGGATAGGGGTGGGGGCAGGGGAGAGCAATGGGGGAAAAACGGAGACAACTATAATTGAGCAACAATAAAAAATTTTTCTTGATAAAGTAAAAATTAAAAAGATAAGCTGAGCTTCCAAGGCTTCCTGTGGGTTTTCTAGCACTGAGCAGGGCTTAGGAAATCATAGACAAGAAAGATGGAAGATAGAGCAGGTGATAGTTTGGTTTCAGGCCAGCCCTCCACCTATCTGTTTTGTAAGCTGATATGTTTGTACACTGGGCTGCCCAACAGGGGCTGGCCTATTTACACCATTCTTCGAGGGCTAGGTGGTCAGAGTGACTCTGGCCCTTTTGCCATTTTCTTCTTTTTTAAAAAGATTTTATATTTATTTATTTATTTATTTTTTTATTTATTTATTTATTTTTTTGGAGAGAGGGACAGGAAGGGGAAAAGAGAAGGAGAGAAACATCTACGTGTAAGAGAAACACTGATCGGTTGCCACACACATAACCCCAAATGGGGTCTTGGCCCGCAAACCGGACATGTGCCCTGACCATAAATCAAACCAGTGAACCTTCAGTTTGCAGGCTGATGCCAAGCCCACTGAGTAACACCAGCCAGGGCTCCTTTTTCTTCATTAGTGTTGCATCCCACTGCCCCATCTCACTCCATTCCTCCTCAGTCTATAGATCTCCATCCTCCACCTTGATCCTCCACTCTGTTCTCAGAGCTTCCTTCCTGACTTGTCTGACCTGTGAGTTAATAAATGTGCCCCCAGATCTGTCCCACTTCCTATAGTGTGGATGGCCTCAGAGAAAGCAACTTGAAACACACCTGGTGCTTCTCCAGAGAGGTGACACCTGCCACCTGCACTGCTGAAATCACCAGGGGGGCTTGTTGGAACAGACTCCCTTTCCTATCCTTCTGCCCACATTATTTTCTCTGTGTACAAGGTCCCTCATCCTGGGGTGCCCCTTCACCAACTGGGGTAACAGATCACTGCCACCTGTGGGCAATAACTTGTGTGCTTGCTCTGCACTTTTCCACAAGCCATCCACTGCACACCTCCATTCACTCCATCCCCTCCAGAACAATGACACATGAAAACTGGAAGAGACCTGGGAGATCTATGGATAGATGGAAACACACAGGTGGACAGGGAAGGCATTTTCCCAAGGTTGTCAACCCAGCTGGGAGCATAAGCAAGGCCAGAACCAGAACTCCAGAAGGCCAGTCCAGGTTTCCTTGCAGAAGCAGAGACACCTGGTGGGAAAAGTAAGGTGATTTAGATGAGAAGACAGTGTCTCTACCACCTCAGCAACCACCACTTCCCCCCAGCTTTCTTCCACATCCTGACACCCTATTCCAGTGGCAATACTGCTGTCACCAAAGTCACCAATGTCCCCTTGTTGCCAAGCTCAATGGTTCTGTTTTCATACTTACCTTTTTTGACCTTTCAGGATTTGACTCAACACTGTAGAAACACTGTCTCCTGGTTCTGCCACAGCCTCTCTCCAACCTGGTATTTTACAACTATGAAATTATTGCCATTCTGGCAGATGGAATACCAGCTGTCTCAGTGATTTGGTTTTTGATCTCTGATACCAATGGATCGAGCACCTATTCATGTATCTTTGGCTATTTAATTTTCCCTTTTTTCTAAAGTCAGTTAATTTCTTTTGCCTATTTTTCTATTGGGCTGCTTATCTTTTCTTTTTGATTCTTTGGGATTAATAGTCTATTCTGTGTGTTTCCCCCCTTGTTTTTCAACTTGTGTGTTGCAAATATCTTTCTACAATATATTGTTTTCTTCTTTTACTTTCTTTATGGTATCTTTAGATGAGCACAATATCTTAATTTTAATGTGGTCTAATATGTTTAAAATCTCATGGTTTATGCTTTTTGTATTGTGCTTAAGAAACGTTATCCTGAGCCCTGGCTGGTGTAGCTCAGTGGATTGAGTGCCAGCCTGAGAACCAAAGGGTCACCGCTTCTATACCCAGTAAGGGCACATGCCTGGGTTGGGGACCAGGTCCCCAGTTAGGGGCCCGTGAGAGGCAACCACACATTGATGTTTCTGTCCCTGTCTTCCTCCCTCCCTTCTCTTCTATCTAAATTTAAATAAATAAAATCTTTTTTAAAAAATTAAAACATTAAATAAATAAATATTTCCCTAAGAATCACTACAGCAAGGAGAGTAATGCATAGCAAAGCAATTCAGCAAAGTGCTGCTCTCTAGGGTCAGTAGAAAGATGAGGCTGGATTACAAAAGAGGCTACCAATGCCCAAGAGAACTGCTTGGAATCAGGTGGCTCTTACAGGGGCTTTACAGGTAGAAGCCTCCACATACCCACATAGATTGAAGATTTGATCTACAGAAAGAGGACCATATCCTGACACTGGCTTATACACACTGGAAGTAACACTCCTAGTGAGTAAGAAGGACAGTCACGTCTTCACTGACAGCCATGTTTCAGCTATTGCCTTGGTACCTGAAGCACAAATAGACGAGAGAGATAGAAGGGGGCCCATCCCCCATCAACCATTCCACTAAGCCATTGGAGCCAAAAGACTAAGTTAAGGCAGAAGGTAAACTTTGACTCATGTATGATATTGAAGGCTTAAAATGATCACTCTGAACCTTAAGAGCCTACATGAGAACTTTTAATAACAAAACTGAAACATTATAATGGAAAAACCATCCACCCACCTTCAGCCACCACAAGAACTAAAACACCACAGTTCTACTGCATGAACCTGAGTGCCCTTCCCCAGACCTCTGGTCCCGCCTTCCCACAGTACTTACCATTCTCAGCTCTCTTGTGTGCCTAGCACAACAGGTACACCTAATATACAGGAATGCATTGGCAAAATTTCTAATGCTCTGTGTGAGCTCACTCAAAATTGTGCGCCTGAAATATTGGAATGCACTGGCAAGCTTAACTAATGCCCTGTGATGGCTAACACTCATTTTCCAGCATGAGAATTCCTGTGGGGGGAACACCAAAGGAGTCCCCAACAGTCCCACCAGGCCTGCTCTTCATTTCATGTGCAAGAACTTCCAGAGTTCTCTTTGTTGTGCACCAGTTCACATTCTGCTCATGTTCTGACTCATTCATTCCTTTTTTTAACACCATTCACACTTCACTGCTCCCCACTGATCCCCACGCCCTGCACAGTTGAAAATGTTGATGAGTCTGTGGAGCTTTACAAACTTTCTCTACCATTTTCCCTTAAGACACGTACCTTGATTACTGTAAACAGAAAACGATAGCACAAACCTAGGATGACAATCTTCTTAGATGTCCTCCTGCTGCCTGTGATGGTATTCAATCTTGCACATGGGTATGTTTCCACTCATCCTGAAAAGCCAGGTTGCAAAATGACCTCCCGAAGTCAGGTTTGTGTACACGATGGGCTGGTAAGAGAAAGTATTGAAACATTGGTGCTTGGAGATAGAAAAAGCTTTATTCATTTTGGCCAAGGTGAGAGGACAGGAGAGGGAAATCTCCCAAATCCACCTGTCTCAAAAAACAAATGTAGGAAGTTTTTATGCAGGTAGGGAATAGAAGAAGGGAAAGTTTCAGAGAACTGAGAAAAGCAGCTGTGTTTCTTCAAGGATAGATAACGCTTTTTTATCAGACCTGGTGGCCCTGGATGCATCTTTTCCTGCTTGACAATGAACCGGTATGTCAGCAGCACCAAATTCTATTGTGAGAACTAGGGGTGCAGGGTTGAAGAACAAAAATTCTGAAAAATATCTCATAGTTGTGCATCAGTGACTTCATGATTAAAGTAAAATGCAGAATGTAGACATTGTGACCATCACCATTGATTAACCTGTCATTGTTTTGTGTTTAACTAGCTGTGTTTCTCCTTTATCTCAACAAAGTGTGCTTTTAAACATTTCTCCTGGAACTCGCTTAATAGTCAGGCCTTCAGACGTGGCCAACATACTTCACAGTCAGGGACTGTAAGTTACTCAACAACCATAGCAATTGAAACATTTAGTTAAAGCCTATACTTTTATCCTAATTCAGATTTAAATTATTTCACTGTAGCTGCCAATATACTGGGATCATTAAAACCACAATGAGCCCTGGCTGGCGTAGCTCAGTGGATTGAGCTCTGGCCTACAAACCAAAGGGTCACCAGTTTGATTCCCAGTCTAGGGCATGTGCCTGGGTTGCAGGCCAGGTGCTCAGTAGTGGGCATATGAGAGTTAACCACACACTATTGTTTCTCTCCCTCTCCTTCTCTTTCACTTCTCCTCACTCTAAAATAAATAAAAGCTTTAAAGACAATAATAAAAAACCCCACAACAGTCCCCACTACAGACACACCCTAGCAATTCTTAGAAAAAGAAAGTACCAACCACAGGGTGATTTCTGGGAAATTTATGAACATGTTATTGTTTGTCACAGGGAGTGGGGGGAGGGGACAAGTCACTAAAAGCATTTAGAGAATAGCAGCCAAGGATGCTAGACGTTCTGAAAATTCAGGACAATCCTAAATAAAGATAAATTGATCATTGTCTGACATCACTTTGGAATGTCCCATCAGACATTCACGAAGAAGATAAACCTATTTATCATTAGCTGGGCCTAGAACTTCACGAATAATCCTCATGTTTTGATCATATATAAAAGTTTCTAGCAGGGTGGCTGCCATTACTTGGCTTTACTTGAGACTTCAAGTCCCAGGAGGGATTCACTGTGTAAGATAATAGGAAGGAAAGGCAATGCCACTCGTGCTCAAGTCCCCACTACAACACAGCCCTACCAGTCTAATTTGCTGCTGCCTCATGCAAACAGCTCACAGAAGAGAAATATGACTCTTTTGACATAAAATCAATTATGAAATTGGAATAAAGATGTGAGGTCCAATGAGTTCTTATAATTTTATTTAATTTTAAAAACCAAAGTGATGGTTTTTTTAATACTTCATATTATTGCCATCTTGTGTGTCAACTTAAGAGGGTGCCCAGAGAGCTGGTTAAACATAATTGCTGGGTGTGTCCCTGAGGATGTTTCCTGGAGAGATTACCATTTGAATGGGTGAACTGGGTAGAGCAGAGGGCCTTTCCTAATGTGGGTGAAACTCACCCAGTCCACTGAGGGCTTGAGCAAAAGAGAAAGGCAGAGGAAGGTTGAAAGGCTCTCTGCCTCACTGCTTGAGCTGGAACATTTTACTTCTGCCTTTGGCACTCCTGGTGCTCAAGCCTTTGGACTCAGGATGGCTTCAACACCATCAGTTCTCTGGCTTTAAGGTCTTCAAATCATACCACCAGCTTTCCTGTGTCCTGAGTCTCCAGCTTGCAGACAGCTGACCATGGAACTCCTTAACCTCTGCACTCAGGTGAGCCAACACCTTATAGTAACTCTCTCTTTCTCTCTCTCTCTCTCTCTCTCTCTCTCTCTCTCTCTCTCTCTCTCTCTCTCTCTCTCCTCCCTCCCTCTCCCTCTCCCTCCCTCTCCCCCACCCTGTCCTTCATGAATGGTGCATGCTGAGGTTATAAATTGGGTTTTTACTGTTGTTTTCAGTCTTATCTGATTCTATCTCCAGGAAAGCCTCTTTTATAACCATTTTCTCCTAATCCATTCTGATAACCCCATGGCTTTTTGAAGGCAATGGTAGCCAAGATTAAGTTTAGGTCATCACAGGAACATGTATGTCCCAACCTATGGTAGGATCTCTCAGGGCACATACATTCTCTGGGATATTTTCTACTTCCTCATCCCACAACACAACACAGGGGACTGACATTGTATTTGCCTTGGTTAATCATGAAAACACTCATTTCTCTACTCCAACTTTCTGTAATTGGCTTGGTCTGCCTACATTAATATTAGAGATTAATATTTTATTTTCATTCTCCTATCTTAGGCTAATTAGCCTATTTCTTTATAACTTTATTCTGTTCTTTATTACTTACAGTAGTAAGTTTTACTCATCCCTCTACTCCTTTTGTTTCCTTTTTGTTGAATTTATTGGGGTGACACTGGGTAACCAAATTACACAGGTTTCAGGTTCACAATTCTATAACCCATCATCTGTGTGCTGTAGTTTATATTCCCCATCCAAGTCAGTCTCTGTCCATCACCATTTATCCCCCCCCTTTACCCTCCTCCACTTCTCCCCCACCTCCTCTTCCCCAAAGGGATCACCACATTGTGATCCACGTCCATGAGGTTTTCTTTTTGTTCAATCACTTTACTCTGCCCCTACCCCACAGCGGTCAGTCTGTTTTCCATCTATGAGTCTGTCTCTACTTGGTTAGTTCCTTTTGTTCACTAGATTTCACATATTAGTAAAATCATATTGTACTTGTCTTCCTCTGACTGGCTTATTTCACTTAGCATAATGTTCTCCAGGTCCATACACGCTGTTGCAAATAGTGAGATTTTCTCCTTTATTTTTAAAACCAAGTAGTATTACTGTACCACTGCTTTTGTACCCTCTCATCTACTGATGGACATTTGGGCTGCTTCCCAATATTGGCTATTGTAAATAGTGCTGCACTGAACATGGGGTACATATATTCTTTTCGAATTTGTGGCCTGGGTTTCTTTGGATAAATTCCCACAAGTCAAATCACTGGGTCTTCCATTTTTTAAAAAGCAACTTTATTTTTTAACTTTTAGAGGTAACTCCATACTGCTTCCCACAGTAGCTGACCAATCTGCATTTCTACCAACAGTGCATGAGGATTCTTTTCTCCACATCTTCACCGGAACTTAATTTATTGATGACAGCCATTCTGACAGATGTGAGGCGATATTGTGATTTTAGTTTGCATCTCTCTGATTACTGATGTTGAATATCTTTTTTATATGTGTCTTGTCCAGCCATATGTCCTCTTTGGAGAAGTGTCTACTCAAGTCCTTAGACCATTTTTTAAATTGAACTGTTTTTAATTTGTTTTGTTATGGCTTTGGCGTTGACTTGTATACATTTTAGATATTAACCCCTTATCAGATGTGATGGTGAATATGTTCTTCTACTCACTGGGTTGTCTTTTTCATTTTATTGATAGTTTCCCTTGCTGTGCAAAAACTTTTTAGTTTGATGTGGTTCCATTTGTTTATTTTTCTTTTGTTTCTCTTGCCAAAGGAGCTATATCAGAATAAATATTGCTACAAGAAATGTTTGAGATTTTACTGCCATTGTTTCCTTTTAGGAATTTTATGGTTTTGAGTTAAGCATTTAAGTTTTTAATCCATTTTGAGTTAATTCTTGTGTATAGTGTAAAGAGGTGGTCTAGTTTTTTTATTTTTTGCATGTATCTGTCTTATTTTCCCAAACACCATTTCTTCAATATACCATCTTTAGCCCATTGTATGTTTTTGCCTCCTTTGTCAAATATTAATTGGTTATATTGGCATGGGTTTATTTCCGGGCTCTCTATCTATGTCTGTTTTTATGCCAGTACCATGATGTTTTAATTACTATGACCTTGTAGTACAGTCTGACATAAGGTGCATAATCCTCCAACTTTGTTCTTTTTTCTTAAGATCACTGTATCTCTTACGGTCTTTTGTGGTTTTATATAAATTTTTGGCATATTTGTTCTTGTTCTATGAAATATGCCATAGGTATTTTAATAAAAATTGTGTTGAATCTATAGATTGCTATAGTAGAAACATTTTAATGATGCTAATTATTCCAACCCAAAACCATGCTATATGCTGCCACTTTTTTGTATCTTATTTAATTTCTTTCTTCAGTGTCTTATAATGTTCCAAGCACAAGTCTTTTACATCCTTGTTTGGTTTATTCTTAGGTGTTCTTTTTGAAGTAACTGTGAATCAAACAGTTTTCTAAGTTTTTCTTTCTCATAGTTCATTATTGGGGCATAAAGTTGCAACTGGTTTCTGGATACTTATTTTGTATCCTGCTCTTTTGCTGAACTCAGTGATCAGTTCCAGTTTTTTTTGGTGGAATCTTTAGGATCCTCTATATGCAGTGTTATGTTATCTGCAAATAAATAATGACAGTTTTACTTTTTCCTTTCTAATATGGGTGCATTTTGTGTCTTTTTCTTGTCTGACTGCTGTTCTAGGGCTTCCAGTGCTATGTTGAATAAGATGGTAAAAGCGGACATTATGTCTTGTTCCCAATCTTAAGGGAAACAGGTTTGGTGTTAGCCCATTGAGTATAATGTTGGATGTGGGTTTGTCGTATATTGTCTTCATTACATTGAGGTATGTTCCCTCTAGTCCCACTTTGCTGACAATTTTTATCATATATGAATACTGAGTTTTATCAAATGCTTTTCTGCATCTATTGATATAATCGTGTAGTTTTTATCTTTCATTTTATTCATGTGGTGTATCACGTTCATTGATTTGCAAATATTATACTCACCTTACGTCACCATAATAAATGTCACTTGGTCATGGTGTGTGATCTTTTTAATATTTTGGTGGTTCTGGTTTGCTAATATTTGTTGAGGATTTTAGTTCTATGTTCATTGCAAAGATTGGCCTATAATTTTCTTTCTTTGCAGTGTCCTTATCTGGTTTTAGAATTACAATAACACTGGCCTTGTGTATGAACTTGGGTGTATTCCCTTTTCTTGAATATTTTTTGGAATAGTTTCAGAAGATTAGGTTTTAGTATTTCTTTGAATGTTTCATACAATTTACCTGTAAAGCCATCCCATCCAATTCTTTTGTTTGTTGGGAGTTTTTTTTTAATATCTCAGAAATTTATTTAATGTTTGCTTAATACATTTATTTAGAAAGATTGGGACTATTTGGTTTGGGTGTCCCTGATAAATTACATGGAGGCACTGAAGTACAAAGGCGTGTCAACCTGGAGACATCAGAAATGGAAAACCCAATTTTATCACTTCTTAGCTTAAAAATGCTCAATGTCTTGGAGCTACTGTGTGAAAATAGCTGATATTTTAGGAGGGCATTTCACGTTTTGGTCTGTTAGAACACTTAAATACTTGGAAATTAAAAATATTCAACTTTGAAGTTTTCAATACTGGAAAACTTTTAAGTCTAGGGTTTATAGCCAGGAAGGGCTGTTTTGTGTTCCTTAAACTGGACTGTTTCCTACAACGTTAATCTTCAGCTTTGGCTTCCATTTCTTCTGCGTCATCATCTCCATCCACTTCTGCATTTTCTCTCTCAAGCCTTTCCAGCTGCCTCACAAGTTCAGTTTCATCTGTATCTGTGACCACTTTGGGCTCCATTTGAACATTGAAGACACCCCTCTTTTCTTCAATCTTTTCTTTAATAACAGCCATGGCTTGATTGAGGACGGAGAGGCCTTCTTTCCTCTCCAGGGTTGTTATAGTCATCACATACCGAGGAAGAGCTATGAGATTAATCTTGATGGGCATGGTCTCTGCAGAACAGTTCAAACCTGCTCGCAGGGCTTCTTTCACGGCGTCAATGCCTTCATAACCGTGGCATGCCACTTCAATATCTGCTCGAATTTTGACAGCCTGTGGGGTCAAACGCCTATTAATATTGTTAATGAGCACTTCCCGTTCATCTTCGCTCAAATCTAAACTATCCAAAATAGATGGGTCTGAGACTGCATGCTTAACTGCATCATAGGCACCGTATTCAGGTCTCTTGTACTTGTCATCGAAGACCCAAACAGTCCTCTGGAACAGGCTTTCCAGCTGCTCATCCTTGGTGTACTCTAACACCTCAGCAACATGACGGAGAATGCTGTAAACAGTTTTGGATTTGGTGAATTTATCTTCACATTTGATTGCTTCCTCTGGAGAAACTCTTCTTTTTGACAAATCAATGTATCCTTTTTCTTTATCCACTCTAATGACAACCACACATTCATTCCTGCCAATTCGGATGAGTTTGTTTATAGAACGAATACGCCTTCTGGACAACTCACTAAGAAGAATCATGCCTTCATTTTGTTGTATTCCAGCAGGCTGACGTAAGCCCCTATTTCAGCAATGGATCTTACATTCACCATCACTACATTTTCCACCTCGGGAAATTTGTGTTGATAAAATCTACAACTTAGACCCGGCATTCTGAGGTATCTGTGTGAGTCCCGTAGTGGGGTCCCGTACTGGGGTCCCGGACCACGCTCTTTAATCGAAGAGAGAGTAGTGACCCACTCGCAGCAGCCGTCAATTCTCCGGGAGTTTTTTTATTACTGCTTCAATTTCACTAGTTTTAATCTGTGTATTCAGGTATTCTGATTCTTTCTGATTCAGTTTTTGAAGATTGTATGTTTCTAGAAATTTATCTATTATACATAGGTTGTTGAATTTGTTAGTATACAGTTGTTCATCATATTTTTTTACAATCTTGTGGGGGGGTTGATGTCAGTTGTTACTTCTCTTTCATTTCTGATTTTATTTATTT